CCCCCCCCCCGCATTTTTCTTTCGTTAATATATTTTGGAGACATTTTTTAAATAATCTAGTTGACCAAAAGAAATTGGTATCTGAAATGAAAGGTTATCCCTTTTTTTCAAGCAATTGGCAATAACCTAGTTAGACTACATATATCAAGGATGTGGGACAGACAGACAGTGTTGTTGCCCAGTTAGGCACCGTTTAAATCTGAGATATATTTTTTACATATGTGCAAAATTTTAGCTGTTGTTAGGACAGACTGGTTATTGTCCTTTTAGGTTCAATAAAGAATTTATATTTTTAACTATGAAACTGACATTAAAATCACTGAAGTGGGGTTTTTTTTTAGCTCCAACATCTATTTGACAGAAAGTCTTCTAATGGTTTATAATTGTAACATTCACATTTGTATCAACTAATATTTTTAAAGGCTTACGTGAACAGTTTTCATTTTATATAGTCTTATATATAAGACTATATATCAATTTATCAAAATTCAAAGAAATAATTGGAGAGACAGATAACATCTTAGCATGAGATTTGAGAGCTGAATCTTTAGTTCAGCATATTACTCCATTAGATACAGAGGCCTATAGTCCAGGTCATTTTCCATTAAAGGACACCCACGGGGTCTAAGTATTAATTATCCCCATTTTACAGATGAGGCCACTGAAGACCCAGGATTTTTATTTTACCCAGAGAAGTAATGAAGTTGAAATTAGAACGTAGATCTCTCAGACCCTAAAACTTGTAGACTTAATTATGTGACCATGCCACCCTGAAGAGTGTGTAAAGGTTTAATAACAGGTTTTTTTGTTTTCTCTTTCTGTGTTTTAGATGATGATAATTCCGAAGAAGGCTCCAACACTATTCCTTCAGGAAGGCATGAATATGCATTCAGCTTCGAGCTTCCACAGACGTAAGTATTAGAAGTAACAGGCACTTTTCATAGACATCCATTCTTTTAGAATTAAAATTCTAAGTTTCAATATTTTTAGTTAAAAAAAAAAAAACCCTTTTCATTACTGAATCTTGCTAAAGGAAAACGATATACTAAAAAAAGCTGTTTTATAATGTAGTGTGGCAAAATTATAGAAAGCAAAGCTTAATTCTTAGTACTTTGCCTCAAGATTTATGAGGTTTTTAAAACTTGAATAGTCTTTCATTTCACACGAGTGAACTGAAAGGTGCTAGTCAAATAATTAAGCACTGTATGCTTAGTTTATCATCAGTTAGCATTAACAGAAAAGGTAAAACATATCAAGTCTCTCATAAGAAATTTATAAAAATTCAGTAGTCTATCTTCCAACAGCAGTAAACTAAGAACACAAACATAAGTAGGAATATCTCATCGTTAGGAGTGATGTTCTTTGGCTCTGAATTCAGTAGCTTCTGTGTAAAGAGCTATTGAGAAGGTCACACAAGAGATTATGACCTGGACTTTAAAGGAAACATCCATCCTAGATACCTTAATGTAAGGCTTGGGATGTAACAGGAAAGGAAGAAAGAAAATGGTATAGACTTAGTGTGATAAAAGATTCTTAGAAGAGATGATAATTTTTTTTAAACAATGCCTTTAGCAGATATCTTGATATGCAAAGTGGCACTTACGCTTATTTTGCAGGATAAACTTGCATTACAGAAGAATTTATTAAGTGCCAAATGTACATAATTCTATATTTTTGTTAATTCTAGTACTACGAGTTGTTTTCTGTGGATAGAGTTTATAAATGGTATTTTTCAGTATTCTATTTACCATATTACTTAAGAACATCATTTAAAATATGATGCCCTAATCTACGTTCTGAGAGAAATATTTTTAGTCTGTGAATGCAATAAGGCTAATACTGGGCCTGAATATTTTCAAAGGATGGAAGTAAGTTAATATATAATTTTAAATTCTACCTGTAAAGCATTCATTTAAAATAAACTCTAGAAGACTAGCAAAAGACTGCATTTTATTTCTCCCTGCTATACAAGTTAATTCAAGAGTCTAAAATGCCACCAAAAAAAAAAAATTGTAAAAACACTACTACTTCTCATACTAATCTAAGTTAGCACTCTACCTTGTAAATAACTGAACATTGGCATTTTTCTAATGAAATTATGAAAAAGAGACTAAACTCACTAAAATAAAATCTTTCATGAGTAATAAAATCTGGCAAAGTTGCAGGTTCTGATTCCCTTGGACTTTGTGAAATGTGAAATTTTTGAAACTATGACTATTCTAGGCCTTTTCTAGACCTTCTTAATTAATTGCTATAAAAAGAGATGATAATTCCTAACAAAAAAATAGTAGAGCACTGTAGGGAATTTGGTCTGAATGTTTAGCCAGTGTCTGTAACGTCTCAATAGAAATAGTTAAACCATTCTTAGCTTTACTTTTAAATTAAATTCTTGACCTTTTCAAGAATTGTTCATTTTCAGATTTTCATAATTTTGCCACCAACATTAAAAGCAGCTTCTTTGTTTAAAGGGATTGTATTCTTCTGGCTTTTTAAAGCAAAATTTCTACATTTACCTACTATTGGTACTTGGAAACAAGTTTTTTCCCCAACGACTATCCCTTTGGAAAATTTTTAAATTATGTGTTTGATACCTCACTGATATATAAACAGTACAATACATAAACAGTACAATATATTAACACTTCTATGCTGACCTACTGTATAATTACTTGAAAGAGGTGTAAGATTAATATATTGACCTTTATATTTTGCACAGACCACTTGCTACCTCATTTGAAGGCCGACATGGCAGTGTGCGCTATTGGGTGAAAGCCGAATTGCACAGGCCTTGGCTTCTACCAGTAAAATTAAAGAAGGAATTTACAGTCTTTGAGCATATAGATATCAACACTCCTTCATTACTGGTAAGAACTGACTGAATTCTTCATTCTTTGTTTTTGGCATATCAATACTAAAGAATAATCACCTAAACTGTAATTTTATAATTTTAAAATAGTGGTTTTATTTTAAAATTCCATAAATACTAATTTTTAAAAAAATAACAGTCAAGGACACACAAACTCATGAAGAATATGATCATATTTTTTGATACTGTGATAACATTAAATTTTAAGAGCAAGACCAGTATATGGTATGAAATATCTCTTACTCAGAAGAAAACAGCAGTAACAAAAAAATAAATCTGTTCCCTGGATAATTTTAGTAGATGAGGAACAGTAGTATTTATTATTATGAGACAATATCATTTAATTTGAAAATATCATAATGTAAAATTTATATTGCTTTGCATTATTCCATGTAGGGATGTCAAACGATGGGGAGATTATCACTTTCATGAAAAAACTTAATTTCATCTTAAAAGAAATCCTTTTTAATTGTATCTTTTCACAAGATTCAAATTTGACTTCAAAAACATTAATTGGTTTAAACAAATGATAACATCTTTAAGCAAATACAAATTAATTTTTCAAATGTGCAGTTTTCCCTTTTTTATATATTGATTTTCACATTCTCAAAGAAAGATGTTAGCATTTGGGATTTATAACCAAGTTGCTTTCCAAGCTGCATTTTTATTTAAGGCAGTTTAAATGTAATGTGGAAAGGGTTTTTTTGGTTTGGTTGGTTGGTTGGTTTTTAATTAGCATATATATATATGTGTGTATATATATGTATGTGTATATATACATATATATATATATATATATATATATATAAATAGTGTGGGCTAAACTATGTTTATGGGATATGGTATTAAGTAAGCCCTGTACCCTTTTTTCTTTAATTGAACAGAAACTTATATATAAAAACAAAAACAATATAATTTAGAGCCATTTGTTAGTTACCAAAAAAAGGATATATTTGGCCACCAACAAAAAGGAGCACTGTTTTAATTTTAAATTCTCCTAGAATTTAGATTGTGTTTTAAAACATTTTATTACTCTCCCTACTCATACATTGATCTTTTTTTTCTAAATTTATTTCTTACAGTCACCCCAAGCAGGCACAAAAGAAAAGACTCTCTGTTGCTGGTTTTGTACCTCAGGCCCAATATCCTTAAGTGCCAAAATCGAAAGGAAGGGCTATACCCCAGGTATGTATGAAGTGGATTCCCACAAAAAACAATCCTTTTTCACTTAACTTTTGTGTTTAAATTTATAACATTTCTACTAAATGCAAACATGAAACAGCATTCTTTGGTAAAATAACATAAGTTGTGCTTATCCAGTTTTCTTTCATAAATTTGAATGTAGTCTCCTTTTTTATTTATTTTTTATTGATTTTTTTTTTTTTTAGAGAGAAACCTCAATTTGTTGTTTCACTTATTTATGCATTCATTGGTTGCTTCTTGTATGTGCCCTGACTGGGGCTTGAACCCATAACCTTGTTGTGTTGGGACAACGCTCTAACCAACTGAGCTACCCGACCGGGGCCTCTTTTAAAGAGCTACTGTAAACATATAGTTCATTTTTATAACTCTAAATTAGTTGCCACTCTTAGAACAGTTTTTCATCTATGTAGTCTGCTGAACTTTCCAGTGTTAGCCAGAGAATCTACATGGGGGGTTTGATTTTGTTTTGTTAACAGGTTTTTTTGTGTGTCTGTTTTTCCCCTCTAGGTGAATCAATTCAGATATTTGCTGAGATTGAGAACTGCTCTTCCCGAATGGTGGTGCCAAAAGCAGCCATTTACCAAACACAGGCCTTCTATGCCAAAGGGAAAATGAAGGAAGTAAAACAGCTTGTGGCTAACTTGCGTGGGGAATCCTTATCATCTGGAAAGACAGAGACATGGAATGGCAAGTTGCTGAAAATTCCACCTGTTTCTCCGTCTATCCTCGACTGTAGTATAATCCGTGTGGAATATTCACTAATGGTACGTATAAATTTAAGGGGTTTTATTTAAGTCTTAAGGTCATGAGGATATCATTTTGTCTTACATCCAGGATTTGATTTTCATATTCCATATGTGATATATAAAAAGAAATATAAATCCTTATATAGTTTTAATTGTAATTATTAATTTTACCTTATATGTATGTAAATGTACAATACAGTATTATACATGATGGACAAACTTTTTTTGTATATCATGCATATAAATAAAAAATTAACTAAATGAGGACTTCAGACAACATTAAAACTGGGTTATTAGTTTTTAAAAAGGAAATAGTACTTGGCATTTTTAAAACTATCATCTCTTTTTACTGTTTAGGTATATGTGGATATTCCTGGAGCTATGGATTTATTTCTTAATTTGCCTCTTGTCATCGGCACCATTCCTCTACATCCATTTGGTAGCAGAACCTCAAGTGTAAGCAGTCAGTGTAGCATGAATATGAACTGGCTCGGTTTATCCCTACCTGAAAGACCTGAAGGTAATTTGATACAATGCATATCTAACTTTTTAAATCTTTTATTATTTTCAAGAATATAATTTTACTTCTTATGTTTTACGATTAAACTTTTGTCTATACATAAAAAGACTATATGTGCCCCTAATGTTAAATTTAAAACATGTATCCCCCTAGTTTTGAACACAAAACAAATTATTATTATTTTACCTTGATATTTCTTTTTAATACCTACTATTCTGTGTATTTTGACATGCATAAGAACATGCTGTTCGAATTGCGTGTATCTTTTTCCTTCAGCACCACCCAGCTATGCAGAAGTGGTCACAGAGGAACAAAGGCGGAACAATCTTGCTCCAGTGAGTGCCTGTGATGACTTTGAAAGAGCGTTTCAAGGACCACTGTTTGCTTATATCCAGGAGTTTCGGTTCTTGCCTCCACCTCTTTATTCAGAGGTAAGCACCAACTCCTCAAGTATAAAATGGGCTGGCTGTCTTACATTGCAGACTTTTCAAAAATACAATTAGATTCTTACTATCATGATAATAGAAAAACATAATTTAAAACCATAGATTAAAGGTTAGATTAGGTTTGTCAATATTTACTAAGTATGACCCAGAAGTAGGACTGTTCACTTCTATTATTGGGGAAATAAAAATAATGATCTCACCTCATGCTTTCAAAATGCTAAAGTAATTGTGTGTGTGTGTGTATATATATATATTTTTTAAGTATATCTTTATTGATTTCAGAGAGATGAAGGGAGAGCGAGACAGAAATAGAAACACCAATGATGAAAGAGTCGTCATTGATTGGCTGCCTCCTGCACACCCCCGACTGGGGATCGAGCCCTCAACCTGGGCATGTGCCCTGACCAGGAATCAAACCATGATCTCCTGGATCCTAGGTTGATACTCAACCACTGGTGGGCAATTCTGGCGTATTTTAACATTCTCAGCCATGAGGGAAAATAGCATACTTGCAATAACATCTTAAACAACATTCCTACACTGTTAGATTATTTTTATTCCTCTCATATTGATGGCAGCTAAGCCCTTATGTGAATAAAATACGGCCTTTTCTTGGGAGGAGCTCGTAGTCTGGTGAGAAAAACAAACTTAGAAGCAAAATATTACATAACAATGAGAAAGTAATGCGCAGTTCATTTGAGGATCAGCTTATTGGGCCTTGGGAATCCCTGAGAAAGATGATTAAAAGTAGTGCTCAGGTGTAGTAGTTCAGGCATGAAGAACAGCATGTGAAAAGGCAAGTAAGTGGGAGCGGGTGGGGGATGCAGCAATTTCAATTCCAGGATGCTTCAGAACGCGTGTATGCATAATACACATTTTGAGGGGCTTTAAAGTCAGCCTTGATACCAATATAATACCAAATAATTTTGTAAATCACTACAATTAGCTTTTTCCTTTGGTTTCTGTAATTTAGACAGGTATTTTACAGTGAAATATTACTACCAAGTAAGACATAAAAGGGATTGTTGTACTCTTCAACAAATTGTTCTCCCCACCTTCTACCCCCAACACCATGACGAAAGAGTCAACTTTCCTTTGGATGTAGCTAATATGAGATGCACTTTATTCATTGATTATAGGATATTCACAGTCTGTCCTTGCAAATTCTTGATTAGACATAATTTTTCTATCCAACTATTCCTATTCATAAAATTTTCTATTAGATGCTAAAAATGTTCTCCCACTTGTTGCAGATTTTCTTATCACATATTTTATTCAGACATTTCAGACATTTCTGACTTGCTTATTAAGTCAGTTGTTTCTCATTGGGTCTGAGGCTTCTTCACTGTCCAGGCATTTTAAAAGAATGGCAGTCTGAATATCCACTTTTAAGTAATTTGTCTTAAAATTCTAACTCCTTTTTAAAATGAACTAAAGAGCCCGGCCGGGCGTGGCTCAGCGGTTGAGCGTCGACCTAGGATCCAGGCGATCGGGGTTCGATTCCCGGTCAGGGCACATGCCCAGGTTGCGGGCTCAATCAATGACTCTCTCATCATTGATGTTTCTATCTCTCTCTCCCTCTCCTTTCCTCTCTCTGAAATCAATAAAGATATATAAAAAATAAAATAAAATGAACTAAAGATAATTAAGAGAATTAAAAATCTTTAAAACCCTAAATTGGTTCAGATTGTGGTTTAATTAACTTCTAGCCACATCAAGGGGGGCTCAAAATGCTATTTTAAATTTTTACTTTTTTTTCTATAAAGGATAGTCATTAAAAGAAAGAAAAGTTATTTAGCTTTTTATTCTTCAAAAATGTGTTTTACCTAAAGGGTCTGAGGTACTTTGGATTGTCCCACATGTAAATACAAGTAAAACAAGTAATACATTTCAGTAAAGGAAATGTATTAAACCAACAACTTGCCTTCCTGTGCCCTTTCTCTTTGTACCTGAGAAGCGACGAAAGTACATTCACTTTTATTAAATGTATGTATGTACATGAAAGTCACTCCAGGAACAGAGAAGGTCTGATGGGTTCAGCATTACTATTTCTTGGTACACACTATTCCTGGGCCCTTTCTAAGCTTTTATACCCACTAGTTAACTACCTCACATAGCACCAAGAACATTTTTTACATAACTGCATTCTTCCTAAAGCATACAGAAGAGATGAGTTAACTTTTTTATAAAAAGATGAAAGGAATACGAGAAGAGATCATTACTAAAAAGATGTTTTCCATTGTGTATTTGAGTCTTAAGTACTTGTAAAACTTAAGTGCTGAGTAAAACTCCATTCAATGATAAAATTTAACTATTAGCTTTAGTGAAAGAACTATTCAGGCATATTTTTATGACTTATATTGTTAATGTAGTAATTGCATATCAAGCACTTTATAGATAATACTAGTACCGTTTCCTCCCCATACTAGCTTTGTATGTTCTTTCTAATTAGATTTCTCAACTAATACTCAAAATCTTAGTCATTTGCTACATTCTTACTAGACTTTATCAAATAACTTAATTTTTTTTCTCTTTCTAGATTGATCCAAATCCTGATCAGTCGGCAGATGATAGACCATCCTGCCCCTCTCGTTGAAGAAACACATGGTTAAATCAAGTTGATGTGGATTCCGAACTGTATCTCTTCCGGCTGAGGACAGAGAAGTATCTTGGAGACACGTTTTCAGAGGAAGTGGAATTGCTTTTGCCCAGAAAAATGGCAAATACATGAAACAACCAGTGATCAAGCTTTAGAGGCCTATGGCAACATTCTGGGACTGCTCCAACATGCTTGAAGATCTAAGCTTTTCTTCTTTAAAACTGGCACATACCAAGAGCAGTCTTCTTAGCCTATGGTCATACGTGTCAAGACACCACGTTATAAAGAGGGATGGTTTCCTTCTTTTGATTTGAAAATTTGCACATGCTCAATGCTTACATTGTGCAGTTCAATGTCACTACAGCTTTTTTTTTTTTCCATTTATGCCAGACTCTTGATACTCTTATAAAACTTGTTTGTGGTCAGCACAACAAGAAACAAAAGAAAGCTTTGAAAAAAACTTTAACATGAAAAAAAACGCACTGACATTTTTTTTTTTAATTTAATATAGCCTGGACTTTACCTGCGTATGCACATGCTCAGAATTGTCCTACTAGGCTGACCATGTATCACCTCTTCAGCTTGGATCCTATCGTGGATTTATTTACAAACATCAAATGCCTTCAAGCCAATCCTTCTTGCTGTATGTTTTGCAGCCTACTGTAGTAGATACGCAACAGATATGTGGGAGAAGAGATGAGAGGAGGAAGCTAATGACTTTGTCAAGATTGTATACCTTCTTGGTTTCTTTTAAGAATTTGTTGCCTTTCTACTATTACAGCAAAGCAGCATTTTGTTACTGACTGCCTAAAATCACTTAATCTCAGGTGAACGCATCACTTGCCAAACTGTTGGAATGCTATTTTGTGTTTTGTTGCACTGTTGAGTTTTTTTTTCGTTTGTTTGGTTGGCTTTTTGGAGAGGGAAATTTGGAAGAGGGACATACACAAAAGTGATAACCCACCCGCATTCCCTTTTTATCATTACATATAAAAAGAAACTAGAAGAGCTAAGAATGAAGTAAAGAAAGGCAGTATGGCAGGCACCAGCAAAGAGTTAAGGGCTGTTGCTCTTAAAAATTATTGTTATTTTTATTGTTTTAAAAGTATGGAAGTTTTCCAGTCATGAGAAAGGAGGAGAAAATGCATTTATTTTTATACAGAGTTACTTAATTACCTCCAAACACATATGTTGGAAATCATTTTTGCTGGTGCAGAAAATTTTAATGAGCAGGAACATATATATATGTATATATCACACACACACACACATATATATATATATATGTTCAGGTTATGATTAGCTCAATTTATACATTTCTTATCCTGCTCAAGCTTGACAGAGCTTGAAAACCCAAGTTTATTCTAAAAGTGTATAACTTCAAAATTATAAATACTAGAATATATGCTGGAATAATAAATGTTTTATATTTTTGTGGGGGGTTTTTAATGGAAGTATTTTTTTCCATTACCTAAAGAACATTTTGCTAAACATGAGAAGTCACTGACTTTAAGTATATGTAGATAAGATAGAGGAAAATTATTACATCAGTAAATTATAGTGTATGTTAAAGATAACTTACAGTTGGCTTATAACAAATATACCAGCATTCATGATGACACCTAAAACGGCATTTTCTGAGATACCAAGTGTACTGATTGTCTTATTTTAGAAGGAATTCAGCTCTGATGTTTTTAATGAAAATCAGCATCTCTGATGTTACAACATATGTGTTGAATGGGTGTTACATCTATCCTGCCATTTAACCCCACAGTTAATAAGGTGACTGAAAATAATAGTAACTCTGGCCTGGTGCTTGACCTGGTTAAATACTGTCTTAAAGCTTCATACAAAACAAATAGGCTTTTCCATAAGTGGCCTTTAAGAAAACATGGAAGACAATTCATGTTTGAAAAATGCTGACAGGGTGAAGAAAGCCCAGTGTAAAAATGAATCACGTTTTAAGTGATTCAGTTAAAGGGTTTGGGCTCCCGTAGCAAATTAATACTAGATAATAAGGAAATGGGGGTGAAATATTTTTCTATTAAATCATTTTGTGAATGTCCCCCTCAAAAAAGCTAATGGAATATTTGGCATAAAGGGCATTTGGTGGTTTTATTTTTGTTTGGGGGGGATTGTCAGAAAATCCCTTTTCTTTTTTATGTCTAACTTCTAGGGAACAATTGTTGATATGCATAGTATTGGAATACTTATCACATATACTCATAAATAACACATGAAAGCAAGAATGACCAATATTCTGGTAATTGGCACTGGGTCACGAAATAAAATGTGATAAAATTTTAAGTATATAAAACTTTATAAAATAAAGTTTTATTTTCCCCATTAAAGTATTTCTTTATTTTTATTTAGAGGCATTACTTTACTCTTTCCTAAATATTGGTCAATTTCTGACATAAGATGTGAGGTTCACAATTGTATTCCAGTATTCAAAATAGATTCCTGCTTTTTCAGTTAGGAAAAGTAAAATCCAAAATGTTAGTAAAACAAAGTGCAATATTAAATGTTTGCTTTATAGATTATACTCTATGGCTGTTTGTAATTTCTCTCTCTTTTTTCCCCCCTTTTTTATTTGGTGCTGAATATGTCCTTGTAGGCTCTGTTTTAAGAAAACAATATGTGGGAAATGATTTGATTTTTCCTATTGCTCTTCCTTGTGGAAAATAAAGTGTTTTGTTTTTTTTTTTCTTTTTGTAAAGTTGGAGATTTATTTGAATCTTGATCATATTAGTAACTCATCATACATGCAAACACTATTAAGACTACAATTAAACTCTTCAGCCATTCTGAAGAATTGCTTCTTGACTCTACTAAAGAAAATTACTGAAGGCTTAAAGGAATTTTGAATACTAATTATTGTTTTACTTAATACATTATTAAGGTATACATACTTCCTTATAAAACTTGTGTTACATATGAACCAAACTTAACAAGGTACAGTAGTTTCACTTAGATACCAATTCCCTCTCACTGATATGTCCAAGTTTCTAGAGCTTCAAGAGCACATAAATGTAAAAGCTACCATATTATTCGAATCTTATGAAAACAAATTTTTTCTAACTTAAAACTAAATTTTTGAGAAAAATTTTCTCAAAGAATGTCTGAATTATACAGTGATTTGTAACATTAAAAGTACTTCTGGAGTCACATTTAGAATTTGTCTTTTAGTGTTTATACATAAAAGGGTGTCCTCTAAAAAATGTTTATACACTTTGAGTAATTATTAATTCCAATGGGTTAAGTCCCAAAAAAAGCAATTGATCTATCAGAAAAAGTGTGTATACATTTTTTGGGACACTATATGGATGAGCTATCAAGTTGAATATGTGCCTTTATGATTCTCCCATATTCTCTAATGTATATATACATAAAAACGTATTGCAAAGAAGCAGTTAGACACACGTTTATAATCAATTTCATAGAAATGTACTGTTATTTTTGTTCATTCAAAGCAAGCAATCTGCCTCGGCCAGTGGGGCTCAGTTGGAAAATTGTCCTGTACACCAAAAGGTGGCAGTTTTCGATTCCTGATCAGGGCACATATCCCAGTTGAGGGTTCAATCCCTGGTCACAGCATATATGGGAAGCAACCAATGTTTCTCTGTCCTCTCTCTAAAATCAGTTTTTAAAAAGCAAGCAATCTATACAGCATCTTAATACAATAAGGAAACAGGAAGAGGAATTATAACAAGAGGAGACCTAGGTTCTGTTTTCTGTGACTAGAAGTTTCTTTGAACAAGATGTGTGCATTTTGATTTCTTCACCTACAAAGTGGAAACATAGCTATCCAAAGTTCTCCTCCCTGAAGGTATGAGGTTATAATACATCTTTAGATAAAGAAATAATGCTCTAAGTCAACTATAACATTGAAGATTAACCACAGTTCTTCTAAATTTGCATTAGAATACTTTTAGACTGATTTAAGTACCTGTCTCAAGTTTAAGAGTGACAGTTATCTGGCTCTGCTTTTGCATTAAATCATCTCTACTTATCAAATTACCCTTATTGTGGCCAAGATTGGTATATTTATTAGGACTTTTGATTGTAACAGAGGGAGAAACTCAGACTAGCTTAAGTAAAAAACTATTAAGTAATTCCAGGGATAAACTATTAAGCACATTTAGATTCAGAAATCCAAATAATGCCCTGAGGACTCACTCTTATCTCTCATCTGTTCAAATAGCCTTATTCTTTCATGTTAGATGAGCCAGTAAAGATGACCCCAGCTTTTATAGCTCACGGAAGAAATGCCATTTGGAGTCCTCAAATCACTTGTTAGGGGACATTCTGATTGTCCAATATGAGTCATGTTTTATGCCACAGAGAATGGGTTTCCCAATAGGAAGAGTTCTATTTCCAGAAGAAAGGAGAAAAGAGGTCACTACATTCTTGCTTTTTCAAGTATGGACTCCCCCCCCACCCCAAAACCAGTAGTAATGGCATCACCCAGGAGCTCACTAAAAGCAGAATATCAAGATCTATCTCAACTTCCAGTCAACACTGAAGGTAAGCACAGTACTCAAATCCTCCCACAACCACATCAAAAATATAATTACAGAACATTCAGAACCACCTGGAATCTAGCTGAATATAAGTCCTACAAGTAGGGATTTAAAGAATCACATTGAGACTGGTAGGAGTGTTGGAGACTCGAAACAGGCTGGTCCCACAACCATGTGTAGTGGTTTAAAAGAAGGAGGGATGTCTTAGCTGTGGAGATGTCCCCTGAGGAATGAGGGGTCACAGCTTCACACCAGACCCCCCAGCACAGGCTTCTAGTGCTAGGAAGATAAGTTCCCATAACTTCTGGCTATAAAAACCAAGGATTGTGGCTGAAAGAGAGGGTTTCTAGCGTCCCACATACAGTTCCTCTTAAAGGGCCTGTGCACGGATTTACTCAGACTCTATCTCTCTGAGCTCCAGCATTGAGGCAGCAGCTAAAAGGGAACCAGTGACATACAAAGAGGAAGTGAATTATCTAGCATTAGAGCCAGAGCTGTGGGGACAGCTTTCTGCCAGACAAAAGTTCTGGCAGGGGCCACTGTATCTTTTTTGAGACCGCCCCTCAACAAAGCCAACAGGTGGACACCATATCTGAGTTTCCATCAACCTGGCTCACACTGTTTGCCCCACCCTGGTGATTCACTAATATCCCACCCCACTCAAGTTTGGCTTTTCCATACAACTGGCCTCTCTTGCCTCAGGCCTGGCACTAGTGACACTATTGGTTCACAGCTTGACCTCTCTGGGCACCTCCAGGCCCAACACAAGTAGCAGCCATCAGTTAGATTGCTCTGCAGCTTGCACTAGGTGGCCCAGGAAAGGCACAGGTAGTGGCTGACTTTGCACCTTCTTGGAGGCCTCAGAACCAGTGCATCCAGTGGACAGCTTCACACCACACCAGAGTACAACCCTACCACCTCCACGAGTGACACACTCAAGGGAAGAACTCGATGAGCACCATAGCCCCACTGAAGCAAGTCCTGCTCTGCAGGGTTGACTCCTGCATAGCTTCTCTCTTATAGTTGCAGCCAGTACTCGCAGCAGATTGGCCTGGAGGTTAATCCCTCCCAGTGACACCAATAGCAATCAAGGCTCAACTACAACAGGACAGTGCACACGGCCCACACAGGGGGCACACCTTGAGCACCCAGCTCAGGTGGCTGTCTGGAGGCTGCACCACTGGCCCCTATAGGACACCTACTACACAAGGCCGCTCTACCAAGTCCAAAAGATGTAGCAGCTCTATGTAATACACAGAAACAAACATAGGGAAGAAGCCAAAATGTGAAGGCAAAGAAACAGGTTCCAAATGAAAGAACAGGAGAAATCTCCAGAGTAAGAATTAAATGAAATGGAGGCAAGCAAACTACCAGATACAGAGTTCAAAACAATGGTTGTAAGGATGCTCAAGAAACTTAGTGAGAACTTCAACAGCATGAAAAAGGACATAGAATCTATAAAAAAAGAACCATGAGAAATGAAAGTACACTAACTGAAATGAAGAACAAATTACAAGGAATCAACAGTAGAGTAGATGACGCCGAGAATCAAATCAGCGATTTGAAATGTAGGGAAGCAAAAACACCCAATCAGAACAGCAAAAACAAAAAAGAATCCAAA